AACCCAGAGCCCCTATAGGGACCCCTCCCCTATAGGGCACAGCCCGGAGCCCCCACAGAGCCCTCTCCCCTCCGGGATGCCCCACAGCCCCCTGTGGAGCCGTTCGCCCCTCATCCCGGTCCCGACCCAGGTCCCCACACGGCGCCCCCCGTACCGGCCGACCCCTCACCCTGCGCCCCCCTACAGGCCGCTCCCCCCGCCCTGCGCCCCCGGTCCCGGCCGCGCCCCCGCCCCGCGCCCCCCGTACCGGCCGCTCCCACCGCCCCTCACACCGACCGGCGGCCCCGGGGCTGCCCGCGGCGCCGCCGCTCCCAACGCGCCTCCCCGGCCCACACCGCCGCGGGTCACGGCCGCTCGGAGCGGGCGGCGGACGAGCCGGGCGGAGCGGCGGAGCCGGGCGGACCGGTCGGACCAGCGGGAGCGGCTCCTCGGGCCGCGGCGGGGCCGTCCCGCGAGCAGGCGGCGCCGAGGGCAGCCCGGGACGGGCGCTGAGGGCCCCGCCGCTGCCTGGGCCCGGCCGCGTGGCGCTCGGCCCCGAGTGGGCGGGGCCTTGGGTGGAGGCCACGCCCACAGGACCGATCTGGCCACGCCCCCTCCCGGGCTCAGCCGCGACCCGGGACCGGGACCGGGACCGGGACCGGGACAGTCCCGCCGGTCCCCCGGTCTGAGCCCCGCACCGAGCCCGGGCCGGGTCCATCCTGCCGTGCCCCCGCTCTGGTCCCGGTCCGTCCCGCCATATCCCCGGTCCGGTCCCGGTCCGTCCCGCCGCGATCCTGGTCCGGTCCCGGTCTGCCCTGCCGTGCCCCCGGTCCGTCCCGCCGATCTCCCGGTCTGAGCCCCGCACCGAACCTGGGCTGGGTCCGTCCTGCCCTGCCCCTGGTCCGGTCCCGGTCTGCACTGCCATGTCCCCAGTCCGGTCCCTGTCCGTCCTGCCGTGCCCCCGGTGCTGGTCCCGTTCCGAGCCCGGTCCCTGCCGTGTCCCCGGTGCCAGCCCAAACCTGGCTCCGCTGCACCCTGTCCCTGCTCCCAGCCCCGGTCATTCCCGCCCTGTCCCCGGTGCCTGCTCTGTGCCCGATCCGGGACCTTCCCGCCCTGTCCCGGTCCCGGTCCCGGTCCGGCTCCTCCGTGCCGCGCTCCCGGCCCCAGCCCCGATCCTCTGTGCCGTGCCCCCGGTGCCGGTGTCGGTCCCGCCCCGGAGCCAAGGAGGACACGCTCGCTCGGGGGTCCGCGGCTGCTTTATGAGGGCGCCCGGTCCGGCGGGCGAGCGGGGCGGGGCACGGCAGTGCTTCCCGGTACCGGTACCGGTACCGGCAGGGAAAGGGGAACCCCGGGGCGCCGGGCCCGGGGCGGGGGCGGGCGGGGCGGGGACAGCCCCGGGCCCGCTGCTGGTTCCAGTTCCACGCCTGGCCGCTGCTCCCGGCACTGCTCCTCGAGGGGGATCCGGTCACAGGGCCAGCACCGGGGGGAACACGGCACCATCTGCGGGGACACCGGGATGAGAGGGGACACCGGGATGAGAGGGGACACCGGGGAGAGGGGACACCGGGGGAGGGGACACCGGGATGAGAGGGGACACCGGGGAGAGGGGACACCGGGAGGGAGAGGGGACACCGGGGAGAGGGGACACCGGGATGAGAGGGGACTCCGGGGAGAGGAGACACCGGGATGAGAGGGGACACCGGGAGGGAGAGGGGACACTGGGGAGAGGGGACACCGGGAGTGAGAGGGGACACCGGGAGAGGGGACAACGAGAGTGAGAGGGGACACGGAAGTGAGAGAGGACACGGGGAGTGAGAGAGAGGGGACACCGGAGGAGAGGAGGCACTGGGATGAGAGGGGACACCGGGAAGGGAGAGGAGAGGGGACACCGGGAGTGAGAGGGGACACCAGGATGAGAGGGGACACCGGGAAGGGAGAGGGGACACCGGGAAGGGAGAGGGGACACGGGGAGGGCTCAGCGGTGGCATCTCACGCTTGGGGCTGCTCTGGCTGTCGGGCTCGGGCACCTTCCAGTCCAGCTTGCGGCCCTTCTCGTAGAGCCCCTTGAGCACCTTGCGGAACTCCTCGGGCTCCGAGCCCTGCGGGCTCAGCTCCAGGTACTTGCGGTACAGCTGCAGCGCCGTCCGCGCGTCCTCGATGCTGTCATGGGTCTCCCCCTGGATCTTCAGGTCTGCGGGGACGCCCCCGGCTCAGCGAGGGGACCCTCGGGGGGGGCTTCCAGCCCTTCCCGGATCCCAGAGCTCGGTACCGACCCAGGAAGTACCAGGCGAGGAAGCGCAGGGAGATCATCCTCTTCCTCGGGATGTGGAACAGGTACACGGTGTCAATCACCTGGTCCTTGGGCACCTGGGGACAAGGACAGGGTCCTGCTGCCGGGGCAGGGGGACAAGGACCCGGCCCGACCCCTCCCCAGCCCCCCACCGTGGCCAGGGAGGGGGTCAGGCCGTCACCATCAGGTTGATGACACGGAAATCCTTCTGCAGCCCGTGGCCCACGAACTTGACGCCCACGTCGATGAGGAAACGCAGCTTCAGGTAAGTGGATTTGAGGGTGGTCAGGTGCTTGGAGGAGATCTTGGCATCCAGGTCTCCCGGCTTGATCCCGGAGTACTGGGTCAGGTAATCCACCACCTGTGGAGACAGGACACCTGGAGGGGGCTGCGGTGCCCAGGGGCTCTGCCCCCTCCCCAATTCCCCTCTCAACACCCTGGGGAGGGGGCTGGTGTCGCAGGACAACAGCCCCAGGTGACCGTGGAGCACAGAGGTCTCCAGGTGGGGACACGGGAGTCCAGGTGAGGCCACCACAGAGGACACAGGGGAACACCCAGGTGTCCATGGGGAGCACCCAGGTGGGTGGGTGTCTGAGTGAGGTCACCATGGAGAACACAGGAGTCCAGGTGAGGTCACCAAAGGGGACAAAAGAATCCCTGGAGAGCACCCAGATGTCCAGATATGGTCACCATAGAGGACAGAGGAGATCATGGGGAGCACCCAGGTGTCCAGGTGAGGTCACCATGGAGAACACAGGCACTCAGATGAGGTCACCATGGAGAACACAGGTGCCAGGTGAGGTCACCATGAAAACACAGGTGCCCATGTGAGGTCACCATGGAAAACCCAGGTGCCCACATGAGGTCACTGTCACCTGTAGAGCAGGCCCATGTCCTTCCTGGGGGCCTGGGGAGCTGCGTGAGGCCAGGTGGGCCCCCCGTACCTGTTCCTGGGTGGAGATGTAGTCATCGATGAAGGGGACGCCCTCGTTGGGGCCCTGCCCACGCACGCAGGTGATCCGGGCCACCGACATCTGGCTGGGCTTGATGGTGGACTTGGTGCCATCGCTGCGCAGCTCAGCCTCCTCCTGCCACCCGGGACAGGACACGAGGTGACCAACAGCCCCAGAGGGGCCATCCCTGTGCCCCCTGTGCCCCCTGTCCCCGCTGTCCCCAGCCCCAGGGCTCCCCCACCTCGTTCAGCGTGACGAACTCGGCGTCCAGCCCCACCAGGTCTCCGGCCTGGGGCATCTCGCTCAGCATGAGGGGGATGAAGGTGGCGTGGCACTTGCGCTGCTTGCGGGCCAGCGAGGCCTCGGCCAGCAGGACGCTGGCCTCGATGGGGTTCTTGACTGGAAAGGGGAAGGAGCTCAGCGGTGCCGCGGCGGCGCCGGCCCCGCCGCCACTCCCACGCCGGGCACTCACTGACGAGGTTGTACTTGGAGTTGAGGTTCCTCCGGGCGTAGTAGAGGATGGCTGGCACCTTCCAGCTCATGTCAAACTGCACAGCCTCGCACTGCAGGGGATGGGGGGGACGGTCAGGGCCAGCCCGGGTGGCTCCACGGCATGGCCACGGGGTCACCTCGGCGCTCACCTTGTCCACCGGCTCGATGAGGAAGTCGTTGAAGAGGTACCACTGCTGGTGTGTGACTCCCTGAGGGGAAAGGCACAGCCTTAGGGGCACCCCCAGGCCAGAGAGTGACTCCTCTGCCCTGTTACCAGGGAAAGGAGGGTGTGACGGTGCCATGTGGGAACCCCCGCCCTTCCTGGGACACCGTGGGGAAATCCCTGCTGCCCCGGGTGGTGACAGAGGACGAGAAAGGATTGGGCTGGACGGGCTCCGGGCTCTGCCCAGCTCCCGAGCAAAACTCCAGGGAGATGCAAGAGATAAGAG